GAAAGGAATGAGCCTTCTGAATGATGACAGTGACCTGTCAAACTGAGGAATGTTGAAACCCTCCTGACCCTCTCTGCCAGCCCACAAAGCTCTTCTGCTTCAGCCCTCTGGGGAATATCCCAGGAGCCCCTCTCAACTCACTATACTAATAAAGGAGGGATTCAGTATTAACTGAGCTTCATTTAGCTGCACGCACCATGTGCTGTTCACGTGCACATCTCTCATACAAGGGGAAGAGCCAGGGCACAGGAGTGTAAGTTACTCGCCTGGCTGTTGTGAAATGCCGAATCGTAGCCTCCCCTCATCAGGAAAAGAATTCAAAATAAGACAAGAAAGAAAACAAAAGAGACAAATAAGAGAGAGAATAAAATGCCTGAAAGGAGAACTCACAATACTGTAACTGAATGAAATATTAATACTGATTATTCCACCTGATAAAAAAAAAAGCCCCCCTGAATTCATAAAAATTTGAAATACATAACTCTGCTCCCTCGCAGCTGTTTTTGAAGCACAACTGAGGTTGACATTCTTGTAACAAACCAAACTAGACAGCTGAGAGAGGGAAAAATGTCTCATGATACTCCATAACTTCAATGCATCCTCAGGTACAAGAAAAAAAGTTGTGGGCTAGCTACTCATGTGTTGTTCAAGAGGTGAGGAAAACTAGGTCATATTTATTTACTACTTTTTACACATTTGACAGATTACCTCCTTACATCCTTCAAATCCTAAATCTGTCTGCTTCCCCTTTAGAAGTCCTTGGAAAATTGCAAATTGCACCAATATTTTTTTAAAATGCACCATGGAATGCAGAAGCACACATAGAACATTTTATGTAAGCATTAATATTTAAACTTGTTCTATAGGATGGCTGTTTGACCTTTAAAAACCTTGCGTGATTTTCTTATTATGATTACTTACTGACCTTTTAGATTATCTTTCAACAAAGGAAAACAGAGGACAGAAAAACATGAATAGCAAACTAAAACTGAGGATAAATTACATCAAACATATAAGGGTTCACAATGAATCTTAAAGGTCAAAATGTAAAATCAGCAATACAAGAAAAGTTGTTATAAACCAGGCTGCAGATGTACTAAACCTGGTAATGATTTAAAACATACTTTGTTCTTTACAGTTTAAAAGGTAACACACTATTTACAAATATGGTTTAGTCCTTAACTAAATCCCCCGTTATACCGTTTTTCTTGCAGTCCATATTTTAAAGAGACATTTACAAACTGTCAAGTATGGCTTTTTTTCTCAAAAATGTTAAACTGGACCCATGCCATACAGAGTGTGAAGTCCCACTGTTATATAGGAGTGTGCCATATTATCACACATACCAGGACAATGCAGATCAAAGCTTTCCTCTTTCTTTCTGTTCCAAGCCAGCTAAACAAACCTTTGGGACCTTTTTTCCTCTTCCTTCTCTTTGCGTATACAGTATTGGCATTTGCTCCAGAGGGCAATTCACACCCCGTGCCATTGTCACTCCTGCACGGCCAGAAACGCCGGTTTCCTTTTCTGTAGGGGCCAAAAGCAAACGAATACTTCTGGAATACACCGTCTGCTTTGTTTGAAATCGAAAAGAAGAGCAGTCTGAGATAAAATCTTTTGGATCTTTCATTCAAAATCCTCGCCCACCACAAGAATACCGGCCCCGGCAGGGGGGGGAGTGTAGAACTTGCTCACCTCGTTCCCAGAGGACCTGCGTGCCCTGGAGCAAATGCCCTGGTAAGGGAAAGTGAAGGCTTGGTGGATATTTCGAAATAATTTCTGACCTTCGCAAAAGTTTTTTTTAATAAAGTCCTGGACTGATAAGGTCAGATCTGTAATAATTAGAAAATGCTGGCTTTGTGGTTTTTTTAAACTTGTCATTCAGATTAGAAATTCCACATTAAGAACTGACGTCAAAGGGATGAACTTTCAGAGAGCTTGTCACAGTCATTGCTGTTGTTGTTTTGTCTGCCTCTGTGTTGAAATGCAGAACAAACAGGAGGGTTTGGGTCTGCTGATTTTTCCCTTAATTGTTACAGAGGGCAGGGGGAAAACCAGTCCTGGACCTGGAAAAAACAGTTCAGCAAGTCTTACAGGTCTCCTGACATTACCTGTTTCTAAAGATTTGGAATTATTACTCAATTAGTTATTGGACAATAATTAAGTCAATGATCAATTAAGTAAAGAATATGGTCGACAAGGGAACTCTGAATCTTAGCTCTATGAATTTCTTGGTCACAATTAAACTGTCCCAGGTCTTTAGAAATTGAGAAGTAATGAGTACCCATGGAGTGCCATGCTGCTGCAGTGTTCAGCATTGCTGCCTTACAGTGCTGGGGCTCTGGGCTCGATTCGAAGTCTTTATAAATTGAGATTTCATTGTTACCCACAAAGACTCCTGAAGTGGGGTTTTCCCACAGACGGGCTAGAAATGCCTGACCTGAACAGAGCACAGTGATTTTTTCAAATTACTCATAGGCTCATAAAAGACTCATGTCCCTGAGATCAGTAGATTTTGATACCAGGCCTGATAAAATCACTCTCTATTTATCTAATCTTAGCAGGAGGAAGCTAATGTGTATAGACTTTAACAAGGAGGGAACTGAGGACAGAATTTGCTGTTCTTACATTCATGACAGCAGTGTGTCTCGAGTTAGCCAGAACCACGCAAGTCTGCTGGACCCTCACTGATTTCTTGTTCCCCTGTGATGTCCTGTGGGTAAATGATGCTTTAATCTGGCAGTGCAACTGGGACAGGTAAGGCTTTGTGTGCTGTTAAAATGAGATGATAAATAAACTAAGGATATTTTGAAGTTCAAAGCCCGATGATAGAAGTCAATAACATAAAATGAATTAAAAAACATTATTCCCAAACAATCTTCAAATTGCCTACAGAGTGCTACAGGCCACATTCTTAAAATGTGCTTCATTTAATCAGAATATTAATTACACAGGGAGAAAACAAAAATGAATTGAATGCAGATTCCAATATAGCGAATAGTATAAGAGGACACCAGTGCTTCACTTACAATCGAGTCTCTTGAATTTACACTAAAATAAAAAGAATGCAGTGCATTAAAACTAGCTGCAAGAATGCACAGGAAAATGAAAATAAAACATTGCCGTAATGACAAAGCAAACTATAAATAATGCATGACATTTGAAACACGCCACCATCAACATGCTGTTACATACATTTTTCAGATCTCTTTAGGTATGACACACAGCCACGTCATATGGTACAGAACGGCTGATCTTCAAGTCCATATACTGTAACTGCTGCAAGAACAGGCACAGGCTCTATACAGATAAATTATACCTTTCATATTTGACCTTAACCAGTCATCTACCCACACTTGATCTTTACTTTTTTATTCATTAAATGGACTATTGCATCATGCTCTGCATGCTGGTGAAGGAACAAACTTTGGTTTAGCAAAGGTGCAAAACATCCCCGATTTCTAATCTCTTTCAGATTTAGAGCGACTCATGTTCTGCCTCTTTTCAGACGTTCTGGGAGCTTGTGAGGCCCTGCCTTCTCGGGTTGTCTCTTACGTTTCCAGAGACACTCCTAGATCAGCTGCTGTTTGAGCCTAATGGCAGCACGACAGCAATGGCAAGAACTCCCTCCCTGAGCAGCTCAGGGGGGTGGCCTGAGGGAGCCTGCGGTCCCCTTCTTCTGACTTCACGATGTCGTCTGTCAGTCTGTCAGAGAGCCACCCCTGCTTAGGGGTTTGTCGACTCCTCAGCTCCTGTTTCCTCAGGGTGAGAGTACAAGCAGTATCTCCTCCACTTGTTTCGAAAACCACAGGAAACTACATTAAATGCTTCATACTGTTTGGGATATTTATTGAGTGGATATTCAGTCAAAATCAAGAGAGTTTCACAGATGTCTGAAAGAAATAAATCACAGTAATAAAACATGCAGGTGCGCTACTGATGCTTGACTCAAGGTATTTAGGAAAGACTGCACTGTTGTCCATCTGTATACGGACTGTGCAGCTGGTAACTCTCTCTGCTGTACCTGCTGCATCTTACATCTTATCTGTGGATAGCACCTGATTTGGATTCTATTCCAATTTTTTCTTCCTCATGTCCTTAAAAAAGGATAAGGCAGCTGAAAACTGTCAGTTGACAGAGCCTGTTTACAAAACTGGCCTGCACACTTCCAACCTTTTCACAAACAACACCACGACTCCATGTCAGAGACTCTACATTTTCCAACATCACTCAAACAGATATACAGGAGGACCTTTTCTTTTTTTAGAGGGCAAATAAAACCACCACTTAGTGTGCAAAAAAAGAAGAATTTAAAATACCTGCTGACACTGGACCATAAAACTGGCAAAATCCAAGGTGACAAAGGTGTGTATGTATGACTAAGTGATCTGTTCTGTTTTCAGAACATAAGGATCCTGGAAGAACAGTATATATAATGTTTTAAGCCATTACCATCTGTACTGTCTGCTATTTTAACTTGGGGCTATCAAAACAAGATGACTACAAGAAGTTATTGTAGGGGAAAAATACAGTACCTTTCTTCGTCAATGGATTAAAATAGAACAGTGTTTCCCCAGGAGCATATTAACTCACAAATTAAACCTCACAAAGGTAAAGAATACCTCCAAAGTAAAAAAAGTATAAAATAAAGGACAGCATGAAAAGCAAAAAGAAGCATTTTACATGGGCTTGATGAACGCTTGCCATTCTAACCAGTTAAGAAGGATCTTGCTATTTTAACCCAGAAAAATTACAGATTTCAGACAAAAGCATGTAAATGCTAGCCAGGTCTAGAGGTTCTACATTATCTGCACCACACACATGCATGTTATTTTCAGGAGAGACAGCCAGTACAAGAGCAGAGCCCACTGGAGTGAGGAGAGAGAAACCTGCCAGCCAGCCGCGAGCGAGAGGAGAGGGCAGAGCGAGAGAGGGAGCAGCTGCCCCCCCTCCTCCACCGCTGGCCTCTAATTGGCTTGTTTTGACTGCGTCTGCCTTACCTCTTCTGCTGCAGCGCCTGGTCCAGCACTTCCTGTCTGTCTCGCAGCAGCCGCTGGAGGTGTCGGATTTCTCTCTGGTAGGAGTCTGCCTTCCCTGCGAAGTCGTCCTCCTGCTCCTGCAGGCGGTGCCCCATGACTCCCAGCCTGGCGGCGGCTTTCTTCTTGTACACCTGCGAGAGCCGGAGAGGGGGGCTGTCAGGGCTCGGGCACACTGCTGTTTCCTTGCTCCCCGCGCAACATCTGGAATGCGTCTGGGAATCCCTGCATGCCAGGATTCAGGCATGAGTAGGTAAGTGGGCAATCTGTACATTTCTAAGAGGTCTATTTGTTCATGCTGCAAAGTATAAAAAATGGTCTTTTGCCTTACAGCACAAGAAAAGAACGCTAAGATCATTTTATTGGATCAGCAGACAAGTTTTTTTCTCTTCTGTGACTTAAGAATGCTAACCATCTGAAAGCAGATTCAATAAAGATTTTTTTTGTTTGACTAATTATATATATATATGTATTAACATATATCTGAGGAGTTTCAACTAAAAAAATCTACGAGCTGATTTCAAAAACGGAATGATGCATTGCTTTCCCCTTCCACAGTGAGACATCTGTTGCATGATTAAACCAACATTATCCAATACCTCTCTTATCCGGGAGGCTTGGGGTTTAAGTCTATAATATTTAAAAGTTACTGGATTTAAATCTGTACCAGATTCCTCTTGGTACACAACATTCTGGTTAACATGATGCTTATTTAAAACACAAGAAACATCTCTCTGGGGTACTGAATATCTGTAGTGTTAATTAATTTATCCCAAACCTCTTCTTCCTCAATTAGAAGCCTCCGACAACAGATATAAAGCATCTTCTGAGAGCATGAAAAGTGTGCTTTGCAAAAACTTCAGTTTTAGAATTGTATTGATACATATGTCTTTAAAAAACGTTTTACATTTAGAAAATTGTTGTAACCTAACAAACGCTCAAACACAAACACATGAACCACTAGAGAATTGTTTTTAAATTACTGAATCTAGCCTGAAAATGACAGTGGAAAGGTACAGTCCTTTCCTTATATTCAGGATGAAAAAGAAGCATGTGGGCACATATCACTTTTCTTCTCTTTCAGTAGGTGGCTTCAAGTACGAAGGCAAATTTAAAGCCAAAGACTGCTCAACCCCAACCCCTGCAGGGTGTGCACACAAACTGGCAAAAAAACAAGGTCTGCTTGGCCTCCCAGCCCCCTTGGAAACAGTAACTGACAGAAGCAGGTTGTACTTCAATACAATACAATACAAATTTTATTTGAAAGCATTCATTTCTGATTTAATCCAAAGCAGAGGGCAAGGTTTAAAAAAATGGGATGACTTAAAAATAAACTGATTTTTTAAAACTGCAGACGTTAAATATATTGCTGTTTATTATTTGTTTATTAACAAGTAAAACAAGTAGAGCAAAAATATTTAAGCATACATTCTCTACTTTGAAGGGAATGATTGGGAATATTGTTCATGTACATTTCATGATACCAGACTAACTGTGCCCTGTGACTGGAATTCAACAGAAAAAATCTGAATTTCTGAAGCAGTTTGATTCATCAGTGAAATCATGCAGACTCTTTTTAAAACCATACATTTTAATGATAATAATAACCTCAATTATTAAGTCAGAATGTAAAACAGCTATTTACTGTAAGCAAAGGCAATGTTCCAAAATTCAAGAAAATCCTGTTAAAAAACAGCAACACCCTGCTCTCTTATCTCAGCTCTCCAACACGTTTTCTTTCTCGATATTTATTTATTGCTGGCAGAGCATCACAGTCATGATGCAAGCACGTGAACCGAGCACATAATTCCCTGCGGTTACCTGTAACCCGTGCAATTTTCCATTCCCAGTATTGATGTATTTGGCTTCAACAATTCTGCTAAAAAGCCCCATTTTAAAATAGATGCCCAGCAGAAGAGAGGTAAAAAGCAAGTGTTTTTTACAGTGGTGGATGGTAGAAGAATAAGTTTCATATTTAAATGAAAATCAAAGACAGATTAGAAAGAAAAACTTTTTTATCTTCTTATTTTACAACTGATCCTGTTCCAAGACCCAGAGACATGTGTCTGCCTTAGGCACATGTGTGACCTGCACAACACTACAACAATCCAGCCTTTTGATTTAATTATTTTCCTTCATTCTATTTATGTTAACCGAGAACATATGCTTATTACCAAAGATGACCTGAGGCTGCAATTATAAAACAGATGCATTTGCTGGAGTATTTTGTGTGAAATGCCTTACTGATACACACAACTGAGCAGCATCACACCGAGAATTTGAGCCCATGATCCTCTGCTCTGGAGAGCATTATTATTGTGCTGTGCACTGGAATGCAGTGTATGGTATGCTTTTGATTACTCACAATCTATAGGTTCCTGATTCACAATCCATAGTACCAAGCCCCCAAGAAAAAAAGGACAAAATATTAGAAAAAGAAAATGTATTGATGCAGCCAAAATAATTAATTGAGGTGCAAGATTACAGAAAAGACAGAACTTACCTTAAAAACAATTCAATGTACTGATTAATAGCCCAAATTCATACTAAGACGGTGACAAAATGAAAGGTCACATAAAACTTATTTTTTTGCCTTAAATATTTTTTTTTCTTTTTCAAGGGCATCATACCTATATAAGGGATGCGCTCATCTCCACTGTACTCTGTCCCAGCGTAAAGATGAGGGGGGTTACTTCTCCGTCTTGGATTATTGTCAGATATTGTCACAGTACTGCAAGCTCTAGCTTAGAGTATTAAACGTGAAGCTTGATGACATTCTGTTAAAAAGGTATAGCTCAACATCAGTACTGGGCACCGTATGAAAATGCAAGACTGTCTGATCTCTTGCTTTATGACAAGGACACCACTTAATTTTGTAGATGTTAATGGATAAGAACGTCAGTAGGGCTATGGGCTCATTCGTCAGTCTTGGGGTTCAATTGCAGCTCGAGGTCATAATTCAAATGAGCACAATGGTCTCAGGTTAGCAACCGGCAGGCAGCAAATCGCCGAATCACCGTAGTGCCGATCATGACTTGGAAGAAAAGAGACAGCTGTGAAATGACACTCAGGGATTAATTGGCATTAAATATCAGCGCTGAAGTCAGAGGTTTTCTCTCTGCACCCACAGGTGCTCTGGTACGGCTGCATGCGTGAGCTACTTCAAGTCTCCCAAAGTCTTCTGCCACTCTTGCTTCAAATATGAAAAAAAGGAGCAGCTGCAATTTAAATGCATCCTCCACTGGCTTGCCTGGTGACGTCTATTAATCTCATTTTAAGGACCTGCACTGGCCTTTCATTCCACTCCGGAGGCCACTTCCACCACCAGCAGATTAGTATGTGACTCATAGATCCGTCGCAGATGAAAATCCCGAATACTAATTCTCCTGTGCTTATGCCCACACACAACATCATTACCCCCATCGCTCCAGAGAAACACGGAGGTCACTTTCTGCGCTCTCCCCGAACTACATGGCTCTGTTTCTGTCTGATTAGACCCAGAGGACCTGGAAGAATGCTATTTTTTTTTATCGGACAAGCAAAACACCTCCAATCCTAAAGTGGTGCAAAGCCAGTGCTTTTCTGATCTTATAAGAAGGAACTCTGCATGTTTGCTGAGCAGTCTTCTTCATGGTTGTGTGTTCTGAGCATGTGAAGACATCAAACCACATTAGTGCAAGTCTTCTGAGAACTCCTGTCAGCACAGGCAGTTCCTAACGAGACAATGCAGGGAGATCAAACACACCAGTCCAGAGAAACTCTCACGGCATTGTTACTGTAGTTGTCAGAATTAGAGAGAAATAAAAATATCATTTTAATTTTCATGGTTCAACAGTTTGGGAATTATCCAACTTGTAGCCATCTAACTGAGAATTATTTTTATTTTTTAGATAGGCTCTTGAGTTTAAAAATAATAAGTAATTACATTCTGAAACAAAATGTAACAAGATCTTTTTAATGTCCAAAGCACTGAACAATGACTGAAGCGTGGCCTCTTGTCATGCACCACAGATGGTATGAAAATTTGGCAAATTTTGCTCATAGAGGTCATCATGTTGGAATTCAGTGGAATATTATTATTAATACTTGTAGTGGTGTTTTTGCCACTGAAGTTATACAGTATACAGCTAAATCTTAAGTGGTGTTCAAGATCTGCATCCTAAAACAAACCTCATCTTGACCGTATATTTTGATTTTGCACCATAATTCAAAATAATTAATTCATAATTAACTCAGACCATTCTCTTAACCATTGCCTTTGGAAATACCCACTGTGGCTCACACTTCTTAGCTGGAATATATGTACAGTATGCCTGAAGTTTAAAGAACGGCACCTCTAGCACTTTGAAATTCAATGCATTTTAGAAAATAATAAAGATGTTATGCTGAGTATGTAGGAGGACACCTGGGGAAAAGCAGAAGGTATTATCTGAAACAGTTGATGTGATTCATGGTATAATGGAAAGTAGAATCACACATCATAGCAGACTAGTCTGAAGCCTAACATCCTGCCTCAAAGCCATTACCTACACTGGGGTTGAAGGCAGATCAACTACCACCTTCAGCTGAGTTTGTAACGCATGTCTAGACTGTGACAGTCTGGAGCAGGCAATTACAGATCATCATTTCTTTACAATACACTAGCCCAAAGAGGCTTAGCTTCTTCTTCACCCCTCTCTTTAAGAAAGCATAGTCAAAATAAATTGCTTTTCCAGCAGGTTTTATTGGTTTGGTTTTACTTCACATTACAGAGATGCTAATTTTCTCATCCCCTCTAGACAGCTTGCTCACTAAAAACTGTCATTATGACTAGACGAGCACCCATTCCTTTGTCAGGCCCATAGAAATGTGAAAAAATTGATTTATTCACCAGTAATAGCACTACAGTACATCAGATGCCTGTGAACAGATAAGAATTGTTACATGACATATCTTTATGTGTCTGACCACCATCTGAGCTAAATTTACAATGTTATACAGTGGGTGGTATTATATTTTGTCTCGGCTTACTGATTACCTTTAGTTTATTTTGACCATTATCACTTTTCTGCAATCTCTTAAACTTCTCTAATGTTAACTAAAATTCTTGCTTATTAAAATCTCTTGGGACATCACAAGGAGGTCATTTACAAGAATGTCAACCTGAAGGATGTAGTCAGATAAATGCAGAAATCTAAAAAATAATTTAAAAATAAATCTGTATGTGTGTTTATGTCATGTTCAACTGACATAGCAGGCATTTATACTTCTTAA